AGTTGCATGCTTCTCAAGGCACCAGCACTATAACCACAGTCAGGAGGTACAGTTCAATGATTTGAATTACCTTAAGTCATGCTCAGATGCCAGCATGGTGATGAAAACCAATTCTTTCAAACTCCTTGCACCAGAAGTAATGAGGCATTTTTCTGTTGTTTATGTATGGCCTGTAAACTCATATCTTCTTGTAACATTGTATCGCATGTGCATTGCCTTTTTTTCTAATGGTTTTGAACTATTTTTCCACCTAGCTTGAGTTAGTCAAATCGATCTCTCCCTAGGGTAATTTTGGTGTAGTTCAACTTTTTCCAGCTGGGTACATAGAGGTGTATTCAAAGTAGCCTCCCCAACACACAAGACTGTAGATGGCATTAGTTGCCTCCATACATGTGTGTGTCCTCGTTCACGTACACAGGACGTCCCAAACAAGGACACTTTCATAGAAAAATTGCTTCAGAATGCTAAGTTTGCACCATGCTGCAATTTTAACATATTTACTTATGTTTTTCCTGCATTGCCTTAACCGAGATCTTGCAGGATAATTTTAGAAAGTGCACACTGCTTCTTTTTGTTTACAGCTTGTATATAAAAAGAAAGTCGGTGGTGCTCTCTAAAATGCCTTCCATTGCATTCCCAGTAAAGGGCTCACAGAAACAATTCATACCTTAACTCCTCATTATGAGTGTCATGCCTGCAGCTCTAAGTAGATTTAAAACACCACATGGTCCTTCAAGGGTTTTTGAGGGAGAACACTATTCACCTTGGTCCATGTGGTGTGTGTATCACTTTTACCTTGACAAGTAACATAACTCATTTTTCATCTGATTTAAATGCTTGCATGCAAATCACAACAGAAATCTGCTTGGATGCTATAAATAACTTACTTTCCATTAAAAGTATTCTCTTTTAGCTCCCATTCAGTGTTTTGCACGGTATTGTAAGTGATTCACAACAAGTCAAGTCGAGTCAAGTCAGTCTTATCTATCTAATCCACTATCACATATCGCATTTGCCTTAAGGTGGTTTAGAATGTGTACAAAATTCAGCCCTCTTTTGTAATTCTATTATGAATTTGGAAAGGGAAGTAAATACCTCTAAAATACTCTGGGGAGGAGCACAGATCCCACTTTAAGTAAAGAAAGCAACACCTTCATACAGCATTGTTTACAGTCAAGCTAAACTGCTACATGAAGAGCTAAAGCAGCACAAAGCTCTGGGATTACTGAAGCAAAATGAAACACATGAGCTTAAGCGCTAACTGCTCTTTAGTTCCCATTTGCACATTCAGTAGTTAAAAACCTCCTTGTTGGAGGTTTGTACTCAAGAACCTTCTCCATAAAGTGTCATTTTATCTTTACAGTGAAACACTATTTTTGAGAGGGATTACATATTTAGCTGCTGGTCAAAAACCCACTGTAAGTCTCGGTAAACCATGGCAGTAAGTAAAGATTTTAGCCCCTAAGTGGAACTATTTTGTCTCCACAGCAGGTATTATTTTAAGCAAGAACTGGGTTGAAGTCAACGTGCTCTCTAGCTGGCACAGTCCAAAGGCTCTCTGTTTCTAGGAACCGAAGAATGAAAAGGTTTGGCTGAGTAATGAGGTGTCTCGTGTAAACAGTGGTTTCTAGGAACGATTACGGAATTTTAAAAAAACTCGTGGGCACAACAGTTGGCTTTCAACCTCTCATTTACGGATTAACTTGGAATCTATTACTTAAATGGGCCAACAAACGTCACATAAGTCAAGTAGCCCATTTCGGGGCTGTTAAATAATTACTATTCATCTCCAAATCCCTTAAAGATGACAGATGTTTAATTCTGGAAAACCACAAAAGCAAAAATAATTCTTCGGACAGTGTCAGCTGAGATTAGTACAGTTCCTGGAAGCTTAAAGCAGTAAACTAAAAAAGAAGTGAAAGGGAAGATATTTCTGCTTTTAACTGCACTGACACATATCTAAAATTTGAGAGGAAAATCTCTGTAGCAAAGATATATTGCATAATAATTCTAGTAAGCTGCTTATCTTTAATGCTGACACAACCATTCAGTGGTTGTATTGTCCTTTTATTTTAATTAAATGTCTTCTGATTTATCTCTGGTGTTAGTTTCAGTTTTAAGCATGTTAGTGTGGCGACTGCTCCTAAAGGACATCTTTGTTTACAACGTCAGGCTATTTTTCATTTTATGATGTGCCAAATGTTTGCAGTTGGTGAAAGGTCAGGACTGCAGACAGTCACTTTCTCCTATGACGCCATGCTGCTGTAACAGATGCTGTTACATTAGCATTATCTTGCTGAAATATGCAAGGTTTTCCCTAAAAAGGAGAGCCTGGATGGGAGCGTATGTTGCTCTAAAACCTGTATCTACCTTTCAGCACTCATTTTGCCTTTCCAGTGCAAGATGCTAATTCCATATGGTTTTGAACTGAAGGCGGGTCTCTCTCATCTTCAGTCTGGAAGAGCGTTCCAATTTGCCTTAGTCGATTTTATTGAGCTTTGGCCCACAGACATTTCTGGATGATGTTCATGTACGGACTCCTCTGTGCATGACAGCGCTTTGTAGATGGCGTGGTAAACTGTGTTGACATACAGTGATTTCTCAAAGTGTTCCTGAGCCAATGCTGTGATTTTGATCAAAGAATCATCCCTGTTTTCGATGTAGTGCTACCTGAAGACTGAAGATCACGGCTATACAATATATATTTTTGGCCTTTGAGCACAGAGATTTTGCCACATTATTTTGATGATATTAGGTAGAGGCTGTATTCAAACTCTTTTCATTATTTTACACTTAAAAATGTTCATCTTGTTCCACAAATTACAGAAAGTTTTTTGCAGACTTGTGAACTAACTTCTATCTTTACTTCTGAGAAACCTGGATGCCTTTTTATATCCAATCATGTTACTAACCTGTAACCAATTAATCTAATTAGTTCAAAAAGTTCCTACAGCTCTTGCTTTTTAGTAGCACTTACTTCCCAGCCTTTTATTGTCCAGTCTCAACCTTTTTTTTTTCTTTTTTTTTTAGATCTGTTGTTCAAAATGATTGAAAATTAACATATAATATTTTCCATGAAATGGTAAAATATCTCAGTTTTTTGTATTGCTACATTGTTTCTGAATTTGCTGTGTGCTATGTTCTCTCACTTCACACAATGAAACTCTTCCCTTCTGAGATTTTTGAGGATTTGTGTTTAGAGCAGTTTATTTACTTATTTTTTTACCTTTCCCCAAACATAACTGAATGTTAATGTCTTTAAACAAGAGAGAAGAAAACACTTTTTTTTGTTGAGTTAAATACATATGAGTGAGAAAGAAAGAGAAGTAAAATAACAAGAGATCATAAGTTTATGCCGTTGCTGTATTTGTTTATGGAAGGTTATTTTTGGTGCCTTTTTCAGTTCCTGTATTTCTCAGTCAAGCTCTAACAGAGGCCATTAAATCATGTACTCTAATAAACCTTTTTTTTTTTTTTTACCTTATAAAAGTTTTGTTGTTCTAGTCCTAAATGATCTCCAGCTAGTGTATCTTTGGATCTGAACAGATACTAATGGATAACATATCGAGAGTAATCTGTAAGCCAGCTGGGCTAAATTTAAAGTCAGAATTTTTCAGTGTAAGTTTTTCTTGACTAGAGTTTAAAATGGGCTGGGACTGTCACATTTTGAATGATTCTTTTATTTACAGTATGTTTTAGGTACTATATAGATGGATTTAGATTTAGCACAGATTAGAAAGCTGGCCCGTTTATTTGTTGGATATTTATCTGGCAACAGTATTTTAATATGTCTGGGCTATTGGATGGAGTCACACCTAAATTTACACAAAAGTCTTTAATATTTAAATGATCATAGAAATTGTAGCTGCCTGTAAAAAAACAAAACAACCCAAAACAAATTCTAACCAATAAAAAGTGTCAGGCTGGAGAATGATTAACAGTGAGCTAAGACGTAAGTTGCACCTTTGGGTGATAATCTCTTTAGGGTTGTCATTAGGCTTGTCATTTGTTGTAACATAAAGCCGCTTTTAAAGCTTCACAGTTAACCAACAAAAAAAAAAATCACTGTCAATGTCAATAAATGACACAGGAGGATTTTTAAGTCAACTACGGTCAATCACCTGTTAGCTAACATAGCAGCTAGCTGGCTAAACTTAGCTTATTTTTTGCTAACATTGTCACCAGCAAGGTATTACCTCATGTCACATAATTATTAACTATGTGGAGTTTGTAATGTAATTTTTGTTGTATTTCTTTACTGATGTCACTAATTAGTAGACTCACTTTATCATTTTGTCAAGTCATTATAAGTCGTTGTTTATGTTTCTTACTTTTAGTGTTGTAGGTGGGGAGAGGAGGTGAATTATGTAAAGGGACTCTGATGTTATGTGGTAAAATAGGCTGAATGAAAATCAATACACAGGCTGTTAGAGGCAACCAATACAGTTGTGGAAAGCCTAATATTTTTTAAGTGGTAAGAAAAATGTTACAAAGTTAACCTTGAGAGTAGCAAAGCATTTCACTCATCAATAGTAGTCTGCAGCCATGCAGATAGTTTTGGTATAACGTGTCCAGTTTTTGAGATAACTGCATGTTGAAATTATATGGCCTGTGTCCACATAATATAGTATGGAGCATAGTTTCACAGAGCCTGGGCTCCTTGAATTTAAAAAGCTGCAAACTCCCAACAATGAAGCCTCAGTGCTTTAATGGGAGCACACCTGACCTCAGTTAATTTGACAGAAATACAGCAATGCGTTTGTTGTGCAAACAGGCACAAATAGACACACAAAATATGTATTTGTTTTCGAGCCTTTTAGAATTTTTAATAGATTAAAGGAGAGAATACTGGCAAAAAAAAGACAGTGGGAAACTGAAAGAGTGCAAAGCGAGAGTCAGGCACAGGGAGAGAGACCAGGGTAGGCTGAATAAGCTGTTTGTTTGTCCCTCTGTTGTCCACCCTGGGCTTGCCTTGTGCCTGGCGTCCAGGGTGATTTCACTTCACAACGACCACTGCCACTCTTGCATTAGTATTTTCACTGCTGTGAGGGTAGCATTCAAGGGTGTACTGTGTTTAGTTGCTTGCTCCTCAACGGGCCTCATTATGCAGGGAATGGGAAAGACCGAGAGAGGAGAGCAGGGCCGAGACATCGACCTGACATCGCTGAGATCCACCATGCCAGCCAGCGGCCCCCTTCAAGTTAGTATACTTAAAAAGGCAGAAAAACTTATAAATAACTATAGATGAATTGCTTATTTTATTAAGCAAAAGCATTGCCTTCCTATCTGCCTTCCTTTTATTTCACCCTCTTCCTTAGTTCCTATTTCCCTCACTCTTTAATCTGACTTTTTTCTTAGTCCTGAGAGTTTGTTACTCTGAATCATTGCTTCTATCTTGGCTTTACCACAAAGCTGTGGTATGTTCTGCCTGTGTGAGAGCTGAGGATCAAAAGGCTGCCCTGTGGTTCTCTTGGTTAGGTTAAGTGCCTGTACTCGATTCCAAGACTAAGACACAACTACAGCATCCATCAAATATCAATTAGGGCCTGGGTGCAAAGGTTAATAATACCTTTTAAAGTAGCTGTGGGTCAAAGAAACAGGTATGCACGAATATAGAGATAGAAAAGGGGTCGTAGTATAATTGGAGTTTTTAGAGGTTGCATTTATTTTTTGATATTCCCATACTTTACACACGAATTTAAGGTACATTTAGTTTATTCACAAATATTTTGGATTTTATTCAAAAAGATTGAAGCCTCTTTTTTTTTTCAAATAATCATCTGACTCAATTTCACAGAAGTTATAGATATTTACATAACTGTTCCTGGTGTCTTCTGCTGGTCTGTAATAGAGGTAACAGGGTTCCTGTATATCAACCAGCAGAGCTATCAGTTACTGGAACAGTATTTTTAGCTACACAGTCTCCAGTGAACAAAGTGGGATTACTTAAGACAAGCTGTGTGTGTTTGTGTGCGTGAGACAGTGATAGATGTGGAAGACAGGGTATTCGCTTAGTTCATCAGCATATGTAAATGTCCATATTACATATAAATTTATTGTATATACATCATTTTGGTATGTAAATGATGTGTGTAAAATTATCAATGAGATAAGCAGAATTCTGGATCTGAAATAAAGTGCTGTTTGCTTTTTTTGTACATACATTTTTGCAAATGCATGCTTTTTTAATGCAGACAGTAAATGTCCTTTTCGGTGACCCCCTACTGTTATCACATTAGCAATAACTTCATTCTATCTCATAGGTTATCTGCCTGCTAACCACATCCAAATGTAGCATGAATGCTTGTACTGTTTATTCATAAAACTGAGATTCATAGCACACTCTTTGACTTTTCACCAGTTCTGTTTTGATAAGTCGTAATCTGATAACAGTTAAACAGAGAACAATGTTACAGTTTATTGAAATGGTATTCAGCATATCTGTAGCACGGGTTATAAATATGAATGAATGTGAATATATTAGCAGCAACTAATAAGACAGGAAGGCTTGAAGAGAGAGAAGAAAAAGACTTGTTTGGATAAGCTGAGAACCTGTACAGTACCATTTGGCCACGTTCTGCCACTAGTGACTCCAGTGATAATAATATCACTATAATATATTTATATCTGCAGATGTCAAGTCCTCCCCGGAACTATTCCTTTGAACCTTAGTGGCATAATTATATGACGACAGACACAAGGAGGGAAATGTGGGATCTTCAGTAAAGCAGAAACAAGTTTACCAAAGCATGTGCGTGCACATGGATGCGTGTTTAAGGAAGCGTGTGTTTAAGAACTCACTCTTTCAGCACAATATGCATCCTGTATGTTATGCCAGCTCAAACTTGTGGTCTGTATGTATATGACTAATGCTAATGCTATTATGCATGTCATATGTATTTGTTGTGTTGTGCCAACAGCCAGTTTAAAATCAAAACACTTGCATCAAGGTACTTTATACTTTACAGTATTCTAGTAAACACCCCAACAATCAGATTAAATTTTCTGTGCAAGCACGTTGTGACTGTGGGAAGGAAAAGCTCTCTTTTAACAGGGGAAAATAACCAGCGAAACCAGGCTCAGGGAGTTGCAGTCATCAGCAGCGACAAGAGCAAAAAAATTGCATCATTGAATTGAATAATGAAAAATGTTGGCAAATAAGGGTTGTCAGATATACACACAGTGCTTTTAGTGTTCACGGAGCAAACATCTTACCATCATCTGAGTTTGTCTCAAGACACACTCAGAATATCTTTCTCATGTAATTAAAAAAATAGCTATAAATTGAGCTTGATATAGGCAGTAGGTGGTCGTCCATGTAGTTCCCTGTCCAGGCTTTACCTCATCTCCTGCTCAGTGTCATCTAGAATAATAATAATGTATACTTTATTGATCCCCATGGGGAAATTACTTGTTTTTCTCTGCATTTGACCCATTCACTCAGTGAAGCAGTGGGCAGCCACTAAGCAGGGGAGCAGTGAGTAGGGACGGTACCTTGCTCAGGGTAGCCGTTCAGTGGATTCAAACCCCTGACCTTCCGATCATGGGGCAACCACTCTACCTACTGACCTATCCCTGCCCCTAGAATAGGCTCCAGGCCTCCATAATGTTATCCACAATAAGGTAGTAGAGCTGAGGAATTGCTGGGATCTTTTTGGTTGAGATTTAGATTCATATATGCTACTGTGGAATAAAACAGGACTGTTGATACAGAATTATTACCCAGAAGGATTTCTTGGTCTTTGAGTTCATGACATCGTCACAATATCCTGATATAATGCAGTAGCATAGCTTCAGAGTGAGAGCTTCCCCAAAGAGAAGCATATTATTTTCTGAAATTAAATCTATGAGGCTTTCATTCAGTGTCTCTGTGAGCCTGTCATGATGAATCTATTTCCATGGTGTGAAAGCTTTACACCTCTAAGTCACTCTCTATGTATAGAGCACAGCAAGAGGGTGTGGAGCGCCAATACAGAATTAGGAGGAATCACACGGCCTCTCCAAGCTTGGCACTCATGTTTCAAAGAAAGAGAATGACCACACTGTTCGAGGAGGATGGTCACGGTAAGTTTAATGATTAGAAAAACCCTCTTATTTTTAGTGTTTGATTGTGAACAAGTTCTTAAGATTACTTGGAGAAATCAATAAAGTGAAAATAACCTTAAAGCAGACATTAAAGACTAGAATTTGGTGTAAACACTTAAAATGTTGCTGTTCTTCCAACACCATGAATCTCCTTGGTTACCAACATTGCTAAATTTTACACATAGATTAAACCTTCCATGCTTTTTCAAGGATTTCTAGCTTATTCAGTGGTGACATTCAGCTTCCATAGTGTTGTTACAGACATAGAAATGGCATCAATATCTTAGTGTGAGGACATAACGCAAAAAGTGAAAATTGAAACACAGGCATAAGAATTATTTCAGAGAAGTGTAAAATCATGTGAGCAAGCCTGAGCTGGCCATCAACTGACTTTGGTAGATGTCAGGAAAGAAAGGCCACTTCAGAGCAAGTCTTGCACGCCAATCACAGAAAATAGTGATATACATATTCGTTTACCAAAGATTAAATATAATAAGGTAGGTCTGCATGTGTCTTATATAGTACTATGAAAAATTCTTGAGTCACCCTAGTAGGTGCGACAGTTTATTAAAACGTGCAAACGTACATAAAATACATTATCGAAGGCAAAAACAGGTTTTACAACTAGCTTGAAAGTCAATATTTGGTATGATCGCCTTTATTCTTCAACTCAGCCTTGCCTCTTCTAGGCAAGCTTCCTTTGATTTCTTTAAGTAGTCTTCAGAAGTAATTCTCCAGACTTCTTGAACATCATTCAAAGGTCTTTTTTGGACGTTGGCTTCCTTTTGTTCCATTCTCTGCCGAGATGATCTGACACTGCCAGTGTTGGGGAGTAACGGAATACATGTACCGCCGTTACGTATTTAAAATACAAAATATAAGTAACTGTATTCCATTACAGGTACCGTTTAAAAAGGTGGTATTTAGAATACAGTTACTTTGTTGAAATAAATGGATACTAGTTATGTGTCTGTGAGCGAGGGAGGGAGAAAAAGGAAAAGTACGAGCTGTCATCGAGCAAAAACGGGAGCTGGAAGCATGTAAATATAATAATAACCACTGCAGCCAAGAAGAGTGCCTGACGAGCCCAGTTGTAAGTAAGCTATTAAGACTTGACTGTTCGTGTTTTCCTCCAAAACAATAAGTTCCGTTGGAGCAGCCTTTCAACACCTCTCTCTGTCTCTCGCAAGCAGAGTTGACCCAGACAACAAAGTAAAGCTATTTTTCGGCTATGAGCGAGCCCGACACAAACCGTATTAGTCAGAGGTCCCTTTACTACAGTTCGGAGCCGCGGACCTTCAGTAATAGTAATAAATCACACAGCAATAGTACATTCATGTAGTTGTAAAATGCATGATAATATCTTAAGTAATCCAAAGTATTCAGAATACGTTACTCTCATTGAGTAACGTAACGGAATACGTTACAGAATACATTTTAGGGCATGTATTCTGTAATCTGTAATGGAATACATTTTAAAATTAACCTTCCCAACACTGGACACTGCTTACACAATGTCGAGGTCCAGGCGCAACATTATTAACATGGCTCATAGCATTCCCTTGTGTGTTCTTCTGGCCAGGTGCGACTTTACTGCCCTGGCAGTGTGCTTGGGGTCATTATCATTATCATATCAGATACTTTCCATGATATTGCGTGGTGAATTGAATTCTGACCATATTCTTCTGCATTCAGTCCAGGTTTTGTAAGAAAAACCCTGTTTCTTTTCCTTAAGAATGGCCTCTTGGCAACCACCCTTCCACTGAGACCTTTTCTGAGGCTGTGGTGAACAGTAGATGAATCATCTGAAGGGTCAGATGCATCTCTCAAGTCCTGTGTCAGGTCTTTGCTGGATTTTTTTCCCTATTTCTTAAGGACATGACTTTCAGATACAGTTCATCTGCTGTAGATAGTTTTTTTTTAGGCCTGTAACCTCTTCTTTTGTCCTCCACTTGACTAGTTTGCTTAAGTCCTAGACAATAACTCTTTGGGAAAACTCCTTGTTGGCTCATAAATACTGTTTTACACCTGTCAGACTGTGTTATCTTGAGATTTTTAGATTCAACTAAAGAAAAAGAATTGTGACAGGCTATTAACAAAGTTCCTGAAGATAAA